TCAGAACATACTCTAATTATATAGATAGGAAATACATGGTGGATGTCAAGCAAGTGGGATCAAGTCCTGGGCTGAGGTCATACAGCTATATGACCTCAGGCACCTTTGCCTTCTGTGCTTCAGGTGCCCTTATCTATAAAATGGGGGTGATGGAAAGTAGATCTTAGGGTTGTTGAATACTAAGTGAATATAAAGTGTTTAGAAGAGTAGGTTACAAATACATAGGTGGACTTTACGAAGTGGCAGATTAATTTATAATAATTAAATCACTAAATAAAAGAGCAAAACAAGTCCTTGTTAGAAGAAAAGTTCCCAAAGTGGCCAGATGAGTACCTGTCAAGAATGCTGTAGCGAGCTGGACACGGTGGTGCATGCAGCTTGGGAGGCTGAGGCAGGAGGATCAAGAGTTCAAAGCCAATGTCAGCAATTTAGCAAGGCCTTAAGCAACCTGTGAGACCCTGTCTCTGAATAAAATACAACAACAACAAAAAAAAGCCTGGGGATGTGGGTTAGTTGTTAAGTATACCTAGGTTCATCCCCGGGTAGAAAGAAAGAAAAAGAGAGAGAGAGAGAGAGAGAGAGAGAGAGAGAGCGAGAGAGAGAGCGCACGAGCGCAAGCGAGCAAGCTGTAGAGGTGCTGGGGATACAGCTCAGTAGTAGTGTACCTGCTTAGCATGTTCAAGGTTCTGAGTTCAATTCCCCTCACCACCACCACCACACATATACACACATGCACACACACACACAAAAAAAAAAAACTGTAGAAAGATCTCCTTTGATAAGAAGGGTAAATTAGATATTCTCATAAGAACTAAGATTCTTTGTTAGTCTAATTATATTCTGAGTGATTTAAGTTATATTTCAGCTTATGGAATAACCTATAGAAAAATTTGATTTTTATTATACCACAAGGCCATAAGAACTTTTTTTTTTTTTTTAACTGGGATTGAACTCAGGAGCACTTTACCATTGAGCCACATCCACAACCCTTTTAATTTGTCTAATTTTGAGACAGGGTCTTGCTAAATTGCTTGGGGCCTTGCTAAATTGTTCAGACTGGCCTTGAACTTGTGATCCTCCTCCCTTGGTCTCCTGAATTGCTGGTATTCATAAGTACTTTTTGCAGATTGTAGAACCCTCAGACTAAAGTCAAATGACATCAAATCAAATGAACAAAACAAGCTGGGAAGAATTTTGATATATTAACTCACTTTTGAATAGCAAAGTAAAAGAGATCCAGAAATGTAACATTATTTACCCATAGGAAAAGTGACCTCAAAAAGGTGGGAAAAAATGCCTCCTAAGGCTCTTTGCTACAACTCATCTCAAGAGAATACAAGAGGCCAAGTACAGTAGCACACACCTGTAATCCCGGTGATTTAGAAGGCTGAGGTAGGAGGATTGAAAGTTCAAGGCTAAGCTCAGCAACTTAGGGAGGTCCTGTCTCAAAAATAAAAAATAAAAAGGGCTGGGGATGTGGGTCAGTGGTTAAGTGCCCATGGGTTCAATCCCTGGTGTGTGTGTGTGTGTGT